CTATGACAGGAGCAAGGCTGAAGCTCTCCTCAAATATCCTCCTCTGAGGAACAGGCAGCAAGGTCAGCAGGGTACTCTGCGGCCTCCACCCTAACTCTCATCCAGTTAGAGAACACTCCCAGGATGCCCTGGCTAGAGGCTCCTCCCCAGTCTACCTCAGCCCCTCTTGCTAGTAAGCTGACTCATCAAACGTTTCTGTGACACTCTTTTGTCTAAACCCATCAAACCCAGTCAGTCTTCCCTGATATTCTTTTGAGTGACAAAGTTCTGAGCTTATTAATGGGGAGGCATGCTTCAAATCGCTCAAGATTTTACTGTCGATCAAGGAGCGTTCCAGTTATCTGAACGGAACAAACAAAACAAGCAGGCATGTGACACTTTCATTATTTCAACTCTTTCCCCTGAGAACCGAATGCAACAAACAGAAGTTCCTAGAAGGAACTGGAAACAGCAGCAAATTCTAACAAGATTTAATTGGGGAAATTAATTGACCCGTAATTCACTTAAACAAAACCCAAGAGCTGTTCTTTATAATCTCCCTACCTTTTCATTGTTATTACCTGGACTATAATCCAGGCTCTTTATCTCTTCCAGATAATGTGACTGACATATTAACACTATAGAATTTGTGATTTTGCTCTTACTTAAGCTAAGAATTTTAATATGCTTTAATTTTTAATTTAATCACTTTTAACATGTTACATGTTTTTCATTGTTACCCAATCCTAAATTAAGCAACTAACATTGTCCATCAGTAATTCATGAGAGGAAACAAAGCCCTGGGCTGGCAGTTACGTACGCACATTTTCAGCTCCCAAGTTCACCAAGAGTTCCCACGGATCTTTGCTAACTGTCATTAGTCTTTAGGGACGCAGGACTGCACTGTGCAGGTCAACACTTCCATCTCTTAAAATCGTTAGCAGACAGAAATCATGTCAGTCATGGCAAAATCAAGAACAGTCACATTCATTATTTCTTCAAAGGCATATGATGTTGAGGATATTAATCAGCATCTGAAGATTTTTTATTATTGATAAAAATGAAGGCACAGTCTATTTCATGAGACTTTGTTTATTTGTTTGTTTTCTTTGTTTTGTGTAGCCCTGGCTGTCCTGGAACTTGATCTGTAGACCAGGCTAGCCTTAAACTCAGAGATCCACCTGCCTCTGCTTCCTGAGTGCTGGGATTAAAGGTGTACGCCAGCATGGTCCAGCTGAATTTTTTTTTAAACTAACATATTTATTTTCATTATAATACAGATTTCTGCTGGAGCAGAAACATCTACCTACATGGTTAACATTCTGTGTGTATTTTAAACTAACATTTATTTTCATTATAATACAGATTTCTGCTGGAGCAGAAACATCTACCTACATGGTTAACATTCTGTGTGTGTTTGGTGAGTGCTTATCTTCTAACACTAAATCTTTCTTACCTCCATGGATAATCTGAATTTACATAATCTATGTTAAAATTCCTCTTCATTTAATTTCACATAATAGTTCTTTGGAGATAAAAATTAGAAAACTAAACTATGTAAAAAATACTGAACTGCTAATAGCATATTGTTTACTTAGTTTAGCAAACCTGTTTGTTTTCAAATATTCTAGGTACAAAACTAATCAAAATTATGGTAGGCTATCCAAAACAATTTACTTGATCAATGGCTTTTCATAAAGTAGCTCTTACTAATCCAAAATTTTGAATACTTGTGTGCCGTGTGTGTATATGTGTGAACAGAACCCAGCCACTGCAGCCATCTACCCCAGCCACTGCAGCCATCATCTACCCCAGCCACTCACCCATCTACCCCAGCCACTGCAGCCATCTACCCCAGCCACTGCAGACATCTACCCCAGCCACTCAGCCATCTACCCCAGCCACTGCAGCCATCTACCCCAGCCACCGTAGCCATCTACCCCAGCCACCGTAGCCATCTACCCCAGCCACTCAGCCATCTACCCCAGCCACTGCAGCCATCTACCCCAGCTACTCACACATCTACCCCAGCCACCGCAGCCATCTACCCCAGCTACTCACACATCTACCCCAGCCACCGCAGCCATCTACCCCAGCCACCGCAGCCATCTACCCCAGCCACTGCAGCCATCTACCCCAGCCACTTATCCATCTACCCCAGCCACTGCAGCCATCTACCCCAGCCACCGCAGCCATCTACCCCAGCCACTGCAGCCATCTACCCCAGCCACCGTAGCCATCTACCCCAGCCACTCAGCCATCTACCCCAGCCACCGTAGCCATCTACCCCAGCCACGGCAGCCATCTACCCCAGCCACCGCAGCCATCTACCCCAGCTACTCACACATCTACCCCAGCCACCGCAGCCATCACTTTCTCTAAAGGTACCCATTTGTTTAGAAAACAGGCCCATGTGCCAGCTCAGCTAAGTTTTATTACTGAAGCAAAATGAAATCCAATAAATAGTAAAGCTTCTTATCTAAATAAATACAAGAGACGAAACCATACTAAATAGAGGTTTCCACAGAAAACTCCACTACATTAAAATTGTATGGGAATAGATAAGTAAAACCAACTATAAAGGAAACAATGCTCCTAAGTTATCATGACTGTTAATATCTAAAACCCCACTTACATTGATACTCTACTGTTTACGGCTTTGTCTTTTTGGTCTTTGGAGTATATTAAGGTTTTAAGAAGTAAGAAATATGTGCAAGTCAAGCCTATCTGCTTAATTCTTACACACACTGGAAGAAAAGCACCCAATTGCTTTATTAAGAAAGGCCCGAAAGCTTTACAACACTTTACAGACTTAAGGCTTCTTTTGGCAAGAGAAATCAAGTACAGGACACAGAACACTGTAACAGAACTTCAGCAACAGAAACCCTGCATGCACTCAGAGCTGGAATTCAATTTTACCAGGAATTCTAGAGAAGGAAAAAGCTACAATTCCAACTTCTGGGCTGGAGAGGACGGCTCAGTAGCTCTGAGCAGGTGCTACTCTTCCTGAGGAACTATACCCACACAGTGGTTTGCAACCCTGTTCTGATCTCTGAGGGCACCATGCTAGTGGTATACACACACACACACACACACACACACACACACACACACACACACACACACACAGGTAAAACACCTATACACATAAGTTTGTTTTTTTTTTTTTAAAGATCCCATTTCTCACCAAAAGCAATGACAGTGGATTTAATTTCTCTTGAAAACTGTAGGATCTCTGGTGTACAGTGACTTATTTAAGTACTTGGGAAAAAATACATATATGTATGCCAATTAGCTCATATAATCCTTAATGAGTACTGAAGAGACAGTTTTTAGAGAGCAAAGAGGGAGACAGAAAGGGAAAAAGAGAGAGAGAGGAAGAGAGAGGGAAGAGAGGAAGAGACAGAGAAAGAGGAAGAGAGAGAGAAAGGAAAAGAGAGACAGAAAGACAGAGGAAGAGAGAGGGGAAGAGAGAAGAAGAGACAGAGAGAGAAAGAGGAAGAGAGAGAAAGGGAAAGGGGAGAGAGGGAGAGAGAGAGAAAGAGAGAAAGAGAAAGAGAGAAAGAGAAAGAGAGAGAGCGTGCACACTTATTTATCCATCATCTATCCATCTAGCTACCTATTTATTTATAGACAAGGTCTTGCTATGGAACCCAGGCTGGTTTCAAATTTGTGAGTCTCCTGTCTCAGCTTCCTGAGTGCTGACATTACAAGTATGGGCTACCATGGTCAATACAGATATCAATAATTTTAAAGCAGATGATTTTAGAAAAGCTAGCCTCTAAAAATGTTTTTATGTACCTAAAAGCTTTCCAAGAAAGAGCTCCATAGTCTTCCAGTGTTCAGTCCCAGGGACACGCAGGGTAATAGTGGACATGTCTGGGTTACTGTGCTCAGTATCTGCACTGGGCACTGAACAAGGGCAGGTAAGTTGACCCAGGTTTTCTTCTTAATTCAGCAACCTCTACCGACCTCTATCTAAAAGTTGTCCCATAAAGGAAGGAGGCTATCAGACTATTTAAAAATAGGGGCTGTTGAGTGTGGATACATGAAGAGTCCATTACCAGTTTTGTATAGTTTTTATTATAGTCAATACCTTTTTCAGTTTAATAAGTTTATAGCTTACACTTAATCTATTTGTGGATATATTTGGTTCTTCAATATGACACAATCTTCATAAAATCAAGGCAAATAACCGAGGTTAAACCCATAGTTTTCAATAAACATTTTCTGTGGATTTAATTTCTAGTGAGATAGCAAAAGTAAAAGCACAGACCCAAGAGCCAGCCTGCCAGGTTTGCATCCCAAGTCCACCGCCTGCTAGTCTTGTGACTAGGCAAATATTTACCCAGTGTCTAGGCTTCATGTGTAACTAGGGATGACAAGAGGGAATGGTGTGAGAATTAAACTAACCATTGCTTAGAACAAGGCTAGACAGTGTTAGCTCAAATGTTAACAGGAAGACTTGATTTTCATAGGAAAACTGCTCACCAGGCCCAGATCAGCCTTATTTTATCAGTCACTCTTTATTTTGGACCTGGCAATCCCTGGGTTGTTAAGTCTGTGAACTACAGACCTTTGCCTCTCTACTCATCATTTCCCTATAGATAAAGTCTAGATCACTGACCTACAGATTGTAGGCATCAGAGCTTAATGCCTGTGAGGTTGTAGAAAATAAATCCAGACATAATACAGCTCTGTCGCCCTCTGTCTACTGTCATCTTCCTGCATGTGTGCCTGCCTGCCTGCCTGTCTCTGTGTGTGTGTGTGTGTGTGTGTGTGTGTGTGTGTGTGTGTGTGTGTGTGCTTGCACGCGCACACACGCACATGTATTACAGTTTAGAGTACTAACTCAGGACTGGACCTCTGCTGTCATTCATTTTATCTGGAATTTCTCTCTGCACTGCCCATGGACTGCATGTTGTGCTTCTTCCACAGTAACATGTTACTTAACATGTTAGAAATGAAAGGATGCCCGTATTTACATGAAGGAAAAGCGCACGCGCACACACACTCCATACCTGTATTTATGAATGATGGCGTTGAACAGTTTCCCATCTCTCCAGCAGGTAGTGAAATTTTCACACCGTACCCCGGCATAGCCCTCCGTTGCCTGCTGTGTCCACAGTAGCAACCTCTCTTTCGCAGACATGTCCTCGGACTCTCCAGTTACATGGATGTCAGATATCTAAATATAACGGAAGCATTAAACCATTAGGAAGGAAGCAAGCTGAGAGAGTACAAGTCTACTATGTGCCAAGTAGTTACATCCGATTTCCCTTAATCCTTATAACTCTTATTTTTATACTAAATATATTTCTCCTGTTTTACAGAGGAAAATTGAATTTCAAACAGGCTTTCAGATTTGACTTATCTGTATCCAAGTTAAAAGCATCCAATGTATTTTTTTTAATGTAAAACACACTAATTTTACAATCTTAAAAAGATAAACAACAATAAAATCCTGACAGGCAAAGAGATCCAGACCACTCCAAATTTAGGCAGCACAATGAATTGGTATTGTAAAAGAAACAAGTAAAACAAAATTCACAGAGGTCTTCATGGAACATGAAGCATGCTAACACACAAAATACATAAAATACTGTTTGGGCTTTTATTCTTGTATTTGCAATAAATTATTGAACTTCTGTTTAATGCATTTACTGTAATAAGCTTTCTCTGTTTAGCAGATGTCAGACAACTACATACGCGCTGTTACTTTACCCTGAGAGTTATAGTTCTCATCTCAAATCAACACCTTGCTTTTTACCAACTCTTCTATATAGTTGTTCCCAGAAACAGTATCTTTCAAGTGGTTCATTTTAGTCAACACAGAATATTTTACAAGCATGACTTATATATATATAAGATGAAGCTTTTATATATATATGTGTGTGTGTGTGTGTGTGTGTGTGTGTGTGCGCGCACACACACACACACAATTTAGGGTAACTATACTGTACTGTTTAAATTTATTTAGTGGGGACACCATGAACTAGGTGGCCCAGGTGACACAGCACGCTGTGGTGACCCTCATGCTCACCCCACCGACGCTGCCTTGCAGATCTGTCTGCATGCCAGGAGTGGCAGTACTAACCTGCTTGTGTATTATACCAAAACTTAGCAGCATTAAAAAGTCTACATTCTTTGCTAATGAGGCCTCTTAAAGCAACTTAAGTGAATTTTTTTCCAGATGAAAACAGATCAGAAGTAAAAGCTATAAATTACTCTATGCAGAATTTGATCCAACAAGTATTCCATGTCAAGAATAAGAGAACAGTGCCCTCTCTCATTTTTAACTATATTCTGTAACATTTTTGGCTAACAGCCTATAAATGTTTTGTGACTCCCTGCTCAGTTTTAGTAGAATTTTCATGTGTACTTTATTTGTTTGTACAGTTCTGAGAACCCCTTCCATTGAGTGACAGAAAAGAACATGGATCTCCATGGTGTGCACTGTCCCAAGAGCAACTCTTCCATCTGGGTCCTTCTTGGCCTGATGCTAACTACACAGGGTGCAAAGTGACTTCACCAGGGTCTCCTCAATAGTTCCACAGCTGGGATTAACATCAATATATAACTGTTTCCTCCATCACAGCAATGTTTGAAACCAAGAAATGATGAAGAGCAAGCAAGCCAGGACCTGGAAGAGATCTGCAAATAAGGAGGTGCGTGTGTGTGTGTGTGTGTGTGTGTGTGTGTGTGTGTGCGCGCGCGTGTGTGTGTGTGTGTGTGTGTGTGTGTGTGTGTGCGCGCGCGTAAGTATAAGGAGAGAGGGGGAGGTCACAAATTGTGGGATATTTGTACACTGTGTGAAAATGTTGCCGTTATTGGTATTATAAAAAACTGAACAGCCAATAGCTAGGGAGGAGGTCTAGGTGGGATTTCTGGGGAGAGAAAGGAAGAGGAGGAGAAATCTAGGCATGCAGGAGAAGCCAGGAGACATGGAGAGGAAACAGGAGGTGCAAGATGGAAGAGAGGTAATGCCATGTGATAGAACATAGAATAATATAAATGGTTTAATTTAAGTTATAAGAGCTAGTTAGGAACAAGCCTAAGCTATAGGCCGAGCGTTCATAATAAAAAGTCTCTGGGTCATTATTTGGGAGGTGGCTGGTGGTTCGTCACAACAAACCCCCTGCAACAGAAACAAAGGCGCAGACCAGAGCAATGAGATCTGCTTCTGGTCTGAGAGCCATCTTCTTTATTTATAAAATGAGGAGGTAGGAGGCTGTTGACAGGTTTAAGGCCTCTTTCTATATAAAATCTTCCTAAGACACTATAAATACAACAAAGAACTCAGAGGTCAAATACAGTCAAACAACTGAAAGAGAAGAACGGGGCAGTGCCAGACTCGAACAGGAAGCCCCTTGTTCTTCCCAGGGACCACAAGAGCCAAGGACCTGAGGCAGAAAGGCTGAGTACAAACCCTCTTCCCAGGCTGGCAGATGCTACCATGTCTGCTGTTGTAGATGAAGGCGGGGCTCACTCCCTCTTCACCTAGGGTCCTACAGAGGCAGTCAGTGCCCGGTGGAGCTCCAAGCTGAGCAAAGTCAGAATCACTGGCCTTAAAACGTCTTGGATTTGAAAGAGAAGCACTGTCTCCATTTTAATCATCTTCCCTAGGAATCTGTGCTAATCTCCACAGCCTGGGAAAGAATTATGTGCATGGACAGATCACATAACATACAGATGAATGATGTTTTTATTTTTCCATGTGGAACACAACTACTGCTCTTTTCGACTTAACTGCTTCCAAGCATGTTGAGACATAGTTCTGTTAGATGACTAAGTGACACTGCCCACACAAATTTGCTTCTTCATGATTACGAACTCAAATCATGTAGCTGCTTAAGTACGTCCCCTCCCTTGTAACATTATGAGAGTTATTACATTGCGTACGAGAATTCCAAATTAGCATGGTGTGATCATATCGTGCACACAGGAAATCCATGGTCAGTGTCGCTGGATGTTTTATTCAGCATTAACATGGTTTATTAACGTTTGGCACACAGGAAATACACCTTGAATATATTTTATTTGTCATGTTATTCCTTTTTACAAAGGGAAAAGCAAAAACCTGCACTTCATATTTTTTTTCCCAGTTCTCGATGTATAGAGGATTATTTCTGCTGTCTCTAGCTGATTCCAGAATATTCTGGGTCAGTCTGGTTACAAGAATAGTTGTCCATTAACTAGGAAAGACAGCACACTTCAGTGATGAGGTGCCAGTGTAAAAGGTGGGAGTGCTGGTCTACCTGAGAGGTGTTGAGGTTGAGTTCACAGATCTGCGACAGTTACAGAGGAAGACAAGGTCTGGTTATTACATCACTTCCAACACGTGAACTCTAGATTGCCACTCACACACATACTAGTTCAGACTATCACACACATACACACTATTTTTTAAAACTCTAATTAAAAACATGCACATTTAGGCCGGGCGGTGGTGGCACACGCCTTTAATCCCAGCACTCGGGAGGCAGAGCCAGGTCGATCTCTGTGAGTTCGAGGCCAGCCTGGGCCACCAAGCGAGTCCCAGGAAAGGCGCAAAGCTACACAGAGAAACCCTGTCTCGAAAAACAAAACAAAACAAAACAAAAAAAACCATGCACATTTAATTATGTCATGAGCCACGGTTTCCATCGAAGACTAGCACACTGGCTTATTTCCTGCTCCTCTGGCCATTGGCAGTGAACTGATCACCCAGTTGCTGAGCGTCTCCACCTGCGCTGTGTGTTCGCCTCACTTCTCCTGCTCTGCCTCCCACAGCTCCAGACTTGCCAGAAATCACATCCCAAGTAGCAACTGCCATCCCCACCACTCTACATGTACCCCTTCTCCAGGATGTACGATCCTAAGTTGGAAAGAGGAGTCTTCAGGAGATCTCCATCAAATACAAACGCTTTCTGGAGCCCCAGCAAACGCTGGGTTAGAAAGACCACCACCCAGTTACTAAAATGCCCACAGATTAGTTAACAGCTGTCCAACTATACTGAGCTCGCTTTACCCTCCCTGAGTGAGCACTGCAGTTTATTTATTTATTTTTTTTGTTTGCTTGTTTTTTGTTTTGTGGGGCGGGGTCTCACTGTGTAGGCCAGACTTGTCTTGAACTCACAGAGATCTTCCCGTCTTTGTCTCCAAACTGCTGGGATTAGAGATGTGCGCCACCATGCCTGGCTTAGTGTACTCTTTCTTCTACATCCACAGTTAGCCTCTGCTGAACTTTCTAGAATCAAGTGATGCCCCTGACTCTCTGCGGACGAAACTGCATGAACGCATCTGGCTATATGCATGACCTGCTCCTTTTCTCTAGGTTTGTAAGTGACGTCTACCTTTAGAACATTCTCTCCCCAGTCTGCCTACCACAGACCCATCAGGTACTCAGTAAATGACTACTGAGTGAAAAGGCATGGATGCAGGGGGTGGAGACCAGGTGTACATCGGAAACACTGCGTGTTGCCCTTTGAACCTCTGCAAACCTTGCCATTGTAGGAAACTGAGTGATTATAGTCAGCACTGCTTTCCAGGAGAAGCAGACAGACTGACCGCTGCCCCGCAGGGAACCAGTACCAAGTAGAACTTCACCTTCATCATTGAACTTCTTTAAAAACAAAACAAAACAAAACAGTCCCAAACTTGACAGGACATAACTTGAAAATGAAAGAAACTCCACTAACATATTGGGTTCTCGGATTTCATGGACAGTTGATTGCTCAATGGCCCATTTGCTGGGAAATGAGTAACAACAGTATCAGTGTGCAGTCAACGGGATCTGGAAATGAGAAAGGCCTCTGAGCAAAGTCAACACCACCAGACAACTGGGAAAGAGGGACATCCCATTTTTACAGATGCTGTCACCATCATGGCATGCACATAGCACAACTGATTCCAAAACTCCAACACTCCCTGAAAATTTATTCACATTCATTTAACTTTGCTGTGGTATGGGAGACTGAGCCACACGCGTGTTATACAAGCATTCTGACACAGAGTTCTATCCTAGCCTCAGGTATATACATTTAAAACACATGTGTATTTAATATTCCACACAAAAATCCCAGTTTTTATTTTTAATATTTAAAAATAATTATGTCATTTCAAAAGTTTTATCAAATTGATAATTACTAAAGTGTACAAAAAGTAGAAAAGTCAATCTAAGCTATTTCTTGAAGGTGAGGCTATAAA